TTAAATGGAATTACTGAAATAAATCTACTTTTTCATGACATTCTAATTTTATGACCAGCACCTGTATATCACCACAGGGATTTTAAGGAGCTTTATATTACTTTCTGCTCATGTTGCTTTTTTTAAATACTGCAGAGACCAACCTGATCATAACTTAAATAAACTACTCAAAGTCTTTCATGTGGGTTGTCATCACTTTCAGCACCCTCTTACAGGACTGTGACGTCGGCCCAGCACTGACCTTCACCCAGGCTGTACCGGAGGCGGGTATCCCAGGCCAGCAGGGTGTCCCGGCTGCTGAAGCCCAGGACCAGCGAGTGGGCCAGGCAAAGAATGGAGAGAGTGTAGGAAACCCCATCGTACCCAGGGCCCGGCTCCACACCACAAATCCCCTGAAAGTTGCAAATTAAAATAAACACATCCGGATTTATTTATTCAACTGGTATATTTGAGGCAGTGCAATCCTTTACAAACTGACATTCTGACAGGTGGATATTTTCTAACCACAATGTGAGACCAAAGCAAAAAGCATAAATATAAAAAGAGAAATTGGAGTTTCTGTGAAAATGCAGGGAGAACAAGAACCGAAGAAGCAAAAACTGAGTTTTAAAGCTGAAAGCAGCAAGACAGAAAAATGTAAAAGAGGAAAATGATGGGAATACTGACTCAGCATTCACACTAAAGAGTAAGATCTTATAAACTTAACTTAATGTTACTCCCTTCACAAAAAAATATAATTTACAATATTTTTTCAAGCAAATATGAATAAAGTTTTGATAACACTTGTGCAAAGCCCTTACGTGATGTTTTGTATTTTCAACTGATGAGAGTTTTTCAATTAAACAATTAAAAAGACTGATTTATATGTGTGGAGAAAACCATAAAGGAACATTAAACATGGAAGCAGAAATCAGAAACAGTGAGCTGTTAGCTGCTGGACATACCTCCAGAGTTACATTGAGCCTGTCTTTATGTCTGCCGCTTTTTCCTTTTTTCTTCTCTTTCCACACGAGCAAAGTCAAGCAGTCTAAGGCGACACAGACAAATAAACCTTTCAGACTGATGGACTCGTTCAGTAATTTGCTGTTAAATATCAGACGGATGGAGGTGTCACTTTTAGTGCCCATCTGTCTATGATGGCACCTCATCTGTCAAAAATAAATAAATAAAACAATTAACTAATCCTCTGACGCAGTTAAAAAACAAGGCAGCATGCATATTGTAACACTTGTAGCTGTGCAGCAGCCTTGATAATTCCCACGAGTCTCGTCAGTTTCTTCAAGAACACGTCTTCGCAGGTCAGAAGTCTTTAGGCTGTAAGATCCAGGGTCTGCTCTCGTGTCAATCAAATCAATCAAATCACCGATCGACCTGTCCATCCCAGCTTTTTGTGCCAGACTATAGCAGTGTTATAGTTTTTGATTTTGATGAAGTATTTTAAATAATCCAAGTAAAATTATAGCAATCCTTGAAGCATATCAGCTACTACCACAACAACATTTAGCTAAAAATCTATCAAATAAACCAAGGTGCAGCCATGTTTGTGTTGGCTAATGCCAAATAACTGATGAAGATGTAAATATATTGATTATTTTATCAGAATCAGAATACTTTAATGATCCCTGGGGGGGATTGCAATTATTACAGCTGCAGTTGTTCAAGTGAGCATTAGAGATAAAGTATAAAGGAAGAAATATTCGAGCACACAAGGAAGAAATAAGTATAAAAACTCTGGAGAACCAGATAAATACAGAGAACAATAAGCATTCTTTAGCGTCTATACAGTTAAAATAGAAATAACAACAGTGTAAATAGAAATAACAACAGTGTAAGTAGAAATAACAACAGCGTAAGTAGAAATAACAACAGTGTAAATAGAAATAACAACAGTGTAAATAACAAGTGTAAGTAGAAATAACAACAGTGTAAGTAGAAATAACAACAGTGTAAGTAGAAATAACAACAGTGTAAGTAGAAATAACAACAGTGTAAGTAGAAATAACAACAGTGATATACTCTGAAGCTAAAAACAGTAGAATGATGAAAGTTTCATTAAACTCTTCCTGTTGCTTCAGGAGATATTTTGCCGGCAGCTGATACTGAAAACAACCCAAATTTATTATGATGCAATTCTTATAATCTTACATCCAATTGAATTTTTTTTTTATCGTTTTAAGACTCGTACACTAACCAAGAGCAGAATGTGTTAGATTATTAATCTGTTAGCCTAAATTTTTCCCTATTTCAAGTCTTACCAGATTATTTCACTTAATTTGAGATGATTCAGACTATAATCTAGAATTTATCACTTTGGTTTTAGATTGCTCATTGTTGCAGTGTCTGAGGAAACTGTGTGTATCAGGCAAGCAGGACTCTGGTTTTGTTGGTACCATTTTAAAACTGATTTCTGTCCATTTCTAAACTCCTCAGATTAATTCCACACACCATGATGTGGATCTGCAGCACTCTGTGGTGCACAGAAAAAAAAGAACAATCAAGTCCTGATTAATTTAATAACAACAAATTTGAACATTTTAGATCTGAACACTAGATTACAGGGACAAATCCGATGAGTGCTGAAGTGAAAGTGTGCAAATCTTGCTTTGGAACATTAAGACCTGGCTGTATAAATAGAAAGTGTTGGGACATACCGGCGACAGGAGACGGCTTCTGAAGAACAACCCAGCGGGTCTTCCACTGTGGAGAAGTTTCAAACACGACAAATCAGTCAAACATATCCTTCTGATGAGTGAGGAAGAATGAAAAATATGTTAAAACCATCAAATAAAGAGAAATGAACCTTTTTTCCATCTCGAAACTTGACTTGTCCCTCTGCAACAACTGTATCCGTCATCTTCTGTCATGATTCTGAGCAGCTGTGTGTGTGTGTGTGTGTGTGTGTGTGTGTGAGAGAGAGTGTGTGTGTGTAATAGAGAGGGGTTCACTTTTCAAAATAGCCTTTACAGCCCAGCTCCCGTTGGTGGATCCTCTCTCCCCCTCAAGTCCCCCCACCCACCGGGGCGGGCAGAGACACTGGTCTCCTGCCAAGTTAGTACAGTTGTCGTCCCACTTCAAGCGCTTATTGTTTGCAATGGAGCTAATTTAATTAAAAAGGCATAACTGGCGTTCTTTTCACTTTACTCCTACATTTTTTACTTAGCCGGGTGTCAGACGGGGATTAATGTTTACTTCAGGCTGATCTGTGGAGCCTCGGCTCAGTCAGTGTAAAGACAGTTTAATTTGTTAAAGCTGGCAGCAGGACAACAAAACAAGTTTAAAACATTAAATGCATCAAATAAACCAATTATAAGTCAAATATTTAAGCAAGATTCACCAAACAGTCAAATTATTGTCATTATGAAAGCAAGACCATTTATTCATCTTTAAGTGAGCAGCTAAAAAAAAGGAAAAAAAAAGGAAAACAACAGCAGGAAGGTCTGAGTTCACTTTAATCTTCCTGTCGCTGCTCTTTGTGAAGCGCCGACGCCTTTAAGGCTTAAATTAAATACCTGGAGGGATAAACTGTCCTGAAAACAACATTCCTTATTAAGAGCCTTCAAATAATCAGAGTTCTTCTTTTCAAGGCGTGTGTGTGTGTGTGTGTGTGGGGGGGGGGGGTGTCATGTGCCCCATCATCTAACTTATTGGTTTGGATGCTGTGGTTCTCTATGAACAATAGAACTAATCAAGCCTATTGTTAAGTGATGGCCCTCTTTTGCATGTGACTAACCTGTTTGTCCAKGTGGAGGCAGTGCTTATAAGGCTGAGTTCACCTGAAACTCATCAGACTGAAGAAGTCTCTTGGAGGAGAGACGAAACGTTTCACTAAAGAAGAACCATCCAGAGGACCTACTGATTTTTTCTTTTCGATTTGCTTAAATAGCAACTGCAGCAGCCTAATATCAGTTGTTCATGTGAGAGTTTTTTTGTCTAATTTTGCTGAGTGGTCACCCACATTACAACTGAATATCAGCGTATTGGGAAAACTCCTCAAATTATGTTTGATTTTATGCTGTAATGAGAATCTTCCAGTCTGGTGTTTCTTTCGTATTAGCGCCTCTGTGAAAAGTGATCATGTTTGAAACTGAAACCCAGATTTTGATGAACCTCGTCCTGCTGCCACATCCCTCAGTGAGGCGTCTGGAGCCAGGGACAGTTTTTTTAACTCTCCGACACCTGTCTGTGAGTCAGAGCATCAGTGTCGTCGGACAGACTTTGAGTCAGACGAACATCGGGCTCCTTAAACAAAAGTGGCTTTTAATTTACTTCGATCTATCTGCCCTTTGCCATAACTCTGATCCAGCTGTTTCTTGACTTTGACCATAGTGGGCAGGTCTGAAGTCTGGTAGACCGCCGACCTCATCCTGCTGCCGCGGCACTGCAGCTCCAAGGCCACGCCCTCCCACTTCCTGTCCAGCTCTGAAAACTGAAGGCCCTGAAGGTCGCGGGGTCCTCTGCGCCTGACGGCCTTCGGGTCTGAAGCGCCTCCTACTTTGTCCAAATCCAGGGCCTGTTTGGGGGCTGCGCGGCCGGAGCGGGACGACGGAGATTTTGATTTGCGGCGAGAACGGAGAGGGGGGCGTGGCGGAGGGGACGGTGGAGAGCAAGGGGTGGGGTTTGAGGATGTTGTCCGTCTGTTTGGCATTCTGAAACCACTTCCACCTTTTCCCCTCCCACTGCACCCAATTCTGTCTTTACCTGAGGAGGAAGAGGACGATTTAAAAACAGAGACACGAGACAAACGTCAAAGGCACCGCAAACACTCCAACAGAAAACAGGAAAAAAATAAAAACTGTATCTGTGAAATAAAACTTACACAGATATAAAACACTGTTTTTATCTCTAATGTTTATAGAGTATTTAGGAAAAGATAAATGTGAGAAAAGAAGTATTTTGTTGGATTTTTCACTGATAGCTCCAGGAATACAACAACACACACATGCACACACACACAAGGGAAAGCTGGGAGGCAGCGGGAAGCTAATTGGATGTGACAGATATTCCCACGCTGGTTCTTGGCTCTGATTTTATGAGAGACAGTGAGATGGTTTCTGCTGAGGGAAGCAGACTCATATCAGTACAAACTGCTCCATCTACTGGCTGACAGAGGGAAAACAAACACTCATTTGTTATTGGCAGCTGATTTGGTTTATTTCTTAATCTTATGTTGCACAATTTCGTTTTTTTCCTCTTCCAATAAAAAGCTTTGTCTTTTATAGTAAGAAACTAATTTTTTTAGCTCTAACCTGCAAAGTACACATTTATAAAAAAAGAAATATGTAACAAATCAAACTTACTGCTGTGACAAATCCTAACTACAAACAGAGAAAGGTTTGAGTAAAAGTAAACAGTGATTTTCCTTTCCCCATTCCTGTTTTTTAGCAACACTTCAGAACAAAATTGCACAATTATGAAAAACTGAAAGTTAAGATAATAAATCTAATGTTTTTGTCATTTTATTTTTTAAGTAGTATAAAATAGACTCATAGAATCAAACCCAACTATAGTATTCTATCCTTAGATAGGCAGCAATATTCATTTTAAAATATTACTATTAAATACTATACTATATACTCAAATACTAAAGTGCCTATACTATTATATAACGTTTAAATGTTTAAAAAAATCAATGGGTTTTTCCATCTTGCTGACTACATAAACACAACTCGTCAGTTTTAGCTTTGTTTAATCGATGCTAACGGTTCAGCTGCACCGAGCTGCCAGCTGGTGATGAACTACCACTGAACAATCACCAACAATGATGTCAATAAAAATGAACCATCGAGGATGTCATGTGTTGTGGCTCAGACAAGTCACTCAGAGGAAACATTTTAAAGTGGACCGTTTATAGGAGCACCAGACTGGAGTCCTGACTGTTCAGAAGGCGTGTGTGGAAATATTGGACCAATGGTGTGCACAGAGACCGAGGGCCAGAAGGATCGATCAGAACCTGTTTGCATTTATGTTTCCCACTGAGATCAATTGATTTAGGACCTGCCGGCAGCGTTCTACTGAACACATCAGGCGGTGAAGGACATTTACAGGAAGTGTCTCTTTAGAGCAGGGTAACATTAGCTGCAAGCATTTTCACTGTGAAGGGGATTACGTTAAAGGTTGTTCAACCTGAGTGGAACATGTCACATGCCTGTTGAAACAGTACATAGGATTGGTTAGCTGTGGCACAGATCATGTAGTGAAGCCTGAGCAGAAGTCAAAGTAATAAAAAAGTACTTTTTAATACAAACACAACAAAATAAAGTTCTCTGCAGCTTGATTTAAAAAAAGTGTTTCCATTCCTCAGTTTAAAGGCAGTCCATCCAAGAGCCATTCAAGTATCTGGGAGGCAATTATTTCTGTTGGCCAGCTGATGTGAGCACAGCAACGAGCGAGTGAGTTGGAACACGAAGCCAACACAAACTCATGTGGCCGTTTCTGTGAAGGTTTTCCTGGGTAATTAGGAAATTCAATTCAGCAGAGCTGGGAAACTTACTGCAACGAAGGACTGGTTTCCTCTGAAGAAACTGTTGCAGATTCTGGTTAAATAATACATATTTGGGGCTCAGCAAAGATAATGAAGTCAACAAGAGAAGCAATTTGTTTATCCCCATTTCCAAATATCCATAGTTTATTGACCTTTACAGTCTGCTTGGCACAGAAACATATCGAAGCACATCTCACCTCAACAGAAACGTGATTCTCCTGATGATAATCATCAGAAAGAGACAAACTTCTTTGTGAGAGTTTTTGATTATTTCTCACAAGTTGGCCTCCAAGAAAAAGCAAACTAAACCATCTATAAAGTTATTATTCTAAAGAAAACTGCAGCAGAGTAGGATACACACAGTCTGTGCTCCTATGAGACTTCCAGCATGCAGTGGGATTGGGTATTTCTGTGTAACGATGAGGAAGAAACAGACCACAGTTATGTTTGAGGACTGCTAAAGAGCTGGGAATGATAAACACTCGCCAAACAAGACACTGGGCAGAGTGGAAGCCATGCATAGTCAATGGCCCAGTTTCCCCAAAAGCCTTTGTACCTCAAAAACAAAAGCCCTGTCCTGCAGACAAATGAACACACACACACACACACACACACACACACACACACACACACACACACACAGTACGTTGAGAAAAGAAAAGAAAAGAATATCAAGTAGAAAATAGTTTAAAAAACAGAAACAGGTCAAAACCAGAAGCTCAAGAATGTGGTTCGTTTTTTTAAAGGAGAGTTAAAAATGAATTAATTATATAAAAAAAGAAATTTACTATTAAAGTTGATTACCAATTAAATATTTTAAATATACGGAGCCTGCAAGGGGACATAGTGATTTATTTTCTTTAGCGTTCCCACGCAAAGCGTTCGTTTTGTATGAACTGAATTAAATCAGACTTTTATTTTGAAATATCCGGTTACCTAAACAGGATGTGTCGCCACAAGTTCGGGGAATAGACGGTTATATTTTGTGGCTGCAATGAGTTAAAAAATATCTGCATATTAAAAATCTTCATGCATGTCTGTGATACATTTAATCCAAAGGCGAATTAAATTAGTGGATTAACTCCCGTATTATGGTGAGCAGGTGGATTTGTTAATAAAATGGTAAGCACAACCGTAAAAAAAAGGCTTTTGCGAGGTAACACAATAAAGTACAATAAAAAATTATATTTTCCATTTTGGTTGTTGTCTGTAATGCAATGCGTGGAGTAATATAATATACAGAAAAATTACAGGCAACAATCAGTTTTCAATTTTCATCATTAAGTTTTAAATAACATTTATCCTTGTAGCTACAAATCAATAATAATATTATGAGGGGCTTGGATTAAAAAATGTTTCAGTAAACATAAGAAATCGCATTTTACTAGAGATCAAACCTATGAAAACTCAGACTGTTTGAAAGAGTCTTTAAATGTCTCCTAATCCACAGTTTCCAGTTCAGAGAAAAACTGAGACAAAAATAAAATAAACAGGATGCTCATGAGGCTACAGTACAACCTCTAAAACATTTATTTGTCTTATTTACAGACAGTAAAACCAACTCGGCAGAGCTGATTCCTATTGTAGCACAACTTAATAAAACAGCTGCGACGCCATTCAACAATGACCACAGCAACATGGTGGTTTCAGAAAGTGAACTATTTACAAATTAATACTTTTTAACTGACAGAACCTAAACATGAAGAGAATGATGCATAAATTAATGTACTGACAGTTACATTGTACAGCATGAAGTGAAGAGAAAAGGGAAGTTGGTCCATTTATTCTCCCCATCTGAAAATATTCCTAATTAAAAGCAAAAAACAAAGAAAAAAACCTGCTTATTTACAGTCAGTGCATAAAATTTTGCACGATTGCACGAGTGAGGCAGGAGCGAAACAAACGCCTGAGGTACGAGAACGTGGGCAGGGGTTGAAATGATGGAAAAGCATAAAGAGAAAGTTTGTGTTGAAAGTTTAGGCCTGTTGTGTCAGCATGCTGTTTGCCCCAAATGTACTTCAACACAGTACCGAGAGTTTCATTTTAATGTGTTTTTAAACAAATACACTGTTTTCTGAACGGCAGCTTGAAACGGAGAGTCTGACAAGTGAATGTGATGAAGAATAAGGAGAAAACAGGAATTTAAAAGTCTTGTTTATGACTGGCTAAAGTGCATCGTTACGTTTCTACACATTTTGGGGGCGGGGCTAGAGGAGTGAAACTGGCACTGGTCTTCACCAATACCTCCCACGCTTGACCTCGATTTCATGTCTCTTCGAACAAAAGAAATCACAGCAAGTCCATTCAAAGGTTCACACAGATGGGCAGCACACAGGGAGAGTCCAGGGACAGTTCTGAACAACAATGCATCCTTTTTTCCTCTCTTTGTGTTCTCCATCTAGAATGGGTTGGTGCTCATGAATTCACTTTTCAATTCACTTTTTGTCACAAAACTAATTTCTATCACTTTATTAGGTCTTAGCTATAATCTTGTTGAGTGTATGTTAAATAATTTGGAATAAAATAATCTCTAATTTGCATTAAACTGCAGATTTATCTAATATTTGTGACCCATCATATCAAAATGAGGATTAAGTCAAAGTTGGTCAAAATGATCTAATTACATTTTTAGATTCCTGCTTTAAAAGCTACATTTTGATACCTGGATCATTCTGATATAAGATTATTCAGAGATATGATTTATTTTGTCTTGTTAATTATGATAACGCATTACTGTTTGGTCTGAATCCTATTTTCGTGTAAGTTTATTGAGTAATTTTTGATGTTAATGTAAAGAGGAAACCTCAAATATTATTTGTATRTTAAGATTTCCCAGTTGGAAAGAAACAAAAACATTTCTAGCTCACAGAGAAAAAAATCTAAATTTTAAGGCGTTTTTTCTCAAAATCAGTTTTTTTTTGGTTTTTTTTTTTTTTTTTTTTTGCTGCTGCTAAAGAAAATGCTTCAAAAAAATTTAGGATTATATTTCAGACAATTCATTCAAGTGATACATTCATTATGATTTGACAAAATGATATTTTTGCAGACTTTTTAATCAAAACCCTTTATCTGCCTGTTTCTCCACATTCCACTTTTGGACTTAATCCTCGTTTTGATGTGATGGGTCACTTTTGATGAGGGGCTCTTTCTACACATTTGAGAGGAAGAAAAGGAGATCTAGATGCATTTTGAACCCAAAAGTACTCAAACTGACTCCAGTGGGGCTCCAGTCCCACCAGCAGTCAGCTTAGGTCGGGGTCTCACACCGGGGAAGTACCTGAGCCAGGCGGCCCGTCCTGTGCCTGCTGCTGAGGTCGGGGCAGGGCTTTACTCAGAAGGGCCGAGGGAGTGACGTAATGCAGGCTGGGGCTGTTGATATCACTCTCTCCCACAAGAGTCAGATCGGACAGGGTGTCCTCCTCAGGCGTTTGGAGGGGTTCTCCCCTGGCAGAGTCCTGGAGGTGCGGAGCGGCTCGGGACGGGTGGACGGGGGAGACGCCGGCTGAAAACAAAGGGGGCGCTCTGGGTTTGCTGCCCCCTCCGCTCTCCGTGCCCAGCGCCGAGTCCAGGCTCTGCGACTGGTGGCTCGCGCTGAGCGAGTGTGCGTTGGCCACGCCTCCCCGGTCGTGGCTGTGGGACTGGTTGCCTCGGCGCCCGCTGCCGGGGAAGCTGCCGTTGGCGGGGCGGCGGGAGTGAGGGGCGGGGCGGCTGGGCTCGGGGTCGCCCGCCGCCGGCGACAGGCGCAGGAAGTCGGGCAGCTGCAGGTCGCTCTTGTTCAGCAGGCCTCGCTGGTCGTCGGCTCTGTTGCTCTGAGCTTTGGATATGAGGTCGAAGAACTCTGCAGGCACGCGCCATGCCACACGTGCACACACACACACAAACACACAGATAAATGAACAAGTGGACACACACAAACACAGATACATGAACGAGGACATGCATGTGCACGTCCACATCAGAGCATCACCTTCAACATTTAAAGTTACTCGTTGCAAAGTCATGAAGAGGTCACACAAGGTCAACCATTGATATGATATATATGTTATATGATATGATATGTTATATTGAGGGGTTTGGAGTTGAGAAGTCGCACAATTTTGATGTTTTTGACAATTTTACAAGTTTTAAAATTACCCCAAAAACAGTGAGTGTTTGACAGCTAATCTGTCTTTATGTCACCATACTGCACTCGTTTCACATTTAGCAGCAGATTCATTCTTATATTTCCACCTAAAATGATACCAAAAATCAGGCAGGTGTTTTGTTTACACTGAGCGTGGGCCTCGATTTGAGAAGTGCATATTAAATAAAGAGTCAACTTTTTCAAACTTCACCATTTGATGTAGTTTCATACTTTGCAACAAGTAACTTTAAAACAAATAAAAATCAAAGCACAGGTTATCATAAAGTATTGCTTAAAACATGCAACTATGTGTTTTATTCCATCAGACAAGTCAAAGCTACATTCAGCACAAGCAAGAGTGACTGTGCTACACGTAGCTAGCTAGCTTTGAAAGCTTTCGGTGCTTCTGCAACTCTGCAAACAAGCCGAAGGGTTAGTGTGATTAAAGCAGCACAGCTACAAAAACAAGAGAGAAGGAAGTGGTTCAGTTTTTACCTTCAGCTTCGTCTATATTTATCTTTTTCTGCTTTCTTTTCCCTGGAGCCTTATGGTTGGACAAAGGCTGGCCGCTTTTGTCAAGGCCTGGCCCAGCCTTGCCATTTTCCCCATGGGGGTGGGCTGTACCGGCTTTCCTTGACGGCCTGTCCTCCCCCTGAGGGCCACACGGAGAGTGGAGTGGGGCATTAGAGCCCTGAGGAATCAGGGTGCAGCAAATATGGGAGGAAGCATCGACAGAATGTGGGAACCAATGCTGCTGATGGTGAAGAGGGTCACAAATTGTAATAAAACTAAAAACTATTTGATGGGGGGGGTGGGGGGGTGATGATGTTCTGATGACTGGGGCAGGTATACACTATCTGGCCAAAAAAAAACATTATTTCCAGCACATTTCTGAACGCAACACTAAAGTCTTCATGAATAATTTATAATTTGAGCCTAATGAATCCTGGCATCTTTACCACACAATGAAAATAAATACAATGGACTGTTTAACCCGCCTGTCTTTTTACGCTTTTCCTATCTGTACTCAACCATCCATGTGACCTAGAAGAAGGGAACGTCTTAAGGCTACGCACTTTTTAGAGTCCAAACTGTGCATGTGGAAAACAGTCTGCAGCCAGTTCTACTGTGTTCTTTGGTTTGATTTGATCAAATGTTTAAGTTGTTCTCTGATCACAAACTCTAAATGTATTATTTCACTGGGCAGCAATCATGTTGAGTCACAAAAGCTCACAAATATGTCACTTCAGTTTTCAACGTGCTCCTCAAAGTGGTCGAGAAGAGGGTCCCTGCAGTCATGGGGGGCAGCGGGGAGTAGCTTGTTCGAGTCGGGCAGGAAGCACCAATATTTTTTTTTAAATATAGAGATTAATTTTAGTCATAACTTCAGACAGGAAGGTGCTAGCTGCACAAAATGTGAACGCCGTACATGTGGAGGTACGTGTAACAATTTGGCTCGGTCAAAACATCCCTAACCAGCCTGTAAAAAGATTGATAAAAATCTATATGAATATACTGTATTTATTCATGTATAATACTAGAAATTTAAGTCTAAAAATTATCCATAAATTGGGGAGGTAGTATTACCCAGTTTCAGTTTCAATTCTTTATTAATTTCATTAAAACCAAACAAATAATTTTATATACAATATACAATAAAAAGAAAAATATAAAAGAAAAATGAGAGAGAAAAAATATATATCACAAATAAAATAAAATGAAAGGCAGCAGAGAGAGAGAGAGAAAAAATCTTATAATATCTGCTCCTTTTTTCTAGAATAAGTTCCATTATACATGGGTTATTGATAATTCGATTTTTTATTCTTTTTAATCTAAAAAAATGATGATCGTATTATACTCGAGATCGTATTATACTTGAATAAATACGGAAAATATTACTGGTAGTCACAACTTGAGATATGAAAGTTCTCAATTTTTATTTGAGTCATTGGTCTGTTTTAAACTGTACACAGACAGTCAATAAATGATATTATTTTACTATTACCATTAATTCCTTTCTTAAGTCGCCCCACAAGACAAGTCAATCTGACCAAACACGATTAGGGAAAACTCTGCCCACACACCAACTCCGCCAATCAAGATTAGGGTCAACTCCGCCCACATCAAGACCTCCACCAATCACGGGTAGGGCCATCTCCGCCAACAGGACAACATGTACTGCAGAGACCCCTACAGGAAGTGGTCACCATCTAAATCAGAAGTGCACAGCCACAAATGCGACTTTGCAAACTGAACAAGAAACTCAAAGCATTAAAAATGATTAACCTGGTTCCATTATACACAGCAGCATCTTTTATATTAGCTGTTTTTTATATATATATATATATATATTTTTTTTTTTTTTGGCCAGACAGTGTTTCACAATGGTTTGAGGGAAACAAACAGTGGCTCAAACACAGGTGGGATGTTCCAGTCAGGTAGCTATAATGTCCATTTTGTGTGCAAAGCATCATCAACGAGTAGACTCACACACACACACCACACCACACGTTACTATCCACTACTTAAAGCTGCAACCAAAGAAGAAAATAATAATAATTCACAAACAGATTCTAGAAACAGCCAAAAGGGTAATCTAATAAATCACTACTTCAGATTTAACCCAAACAGCTAAAAAAATAACATCCAAACAACAAGCTAAAGCTCTACGACCAACAACGAGCTGCATCTCTTTCTGGTGCACAGACGAGTTTCTGACACCCAGTAAACAACGTGAGAAACTGGGGTCACGCCACCGGGGCATGGAGGTGTTAACAGAAAGGAAAGACCAGAAAGAAAAGTTGATGATGCATTCAGCCAGAGGCAGACCACAATAATGGAACATTAGGAACTTCTGCACTTGGTACTGCAGCGGTCACGTATTACACCATGTTTAACGCAGCATTCAGACAGACATGGGAGACTGAGGACAGCCCAGAGACACTTAGTAGCGTGACAATATCAACCAGGCAGTAGAGACACTTGTGGGTTAAGGGACATTCCAGAGCGAGAGGAAAACGTGACGTAAGAGGCTGAAGGAGATCTTACTGTGGATGATTGGTTTCTGCTGGTAGAGGCTGGAAGGTGGCTCTTAGAGGGAGCTACCTTTTGTTTGTCTGGTGAATTGACAGAAAAACACATAAAATTAAAAAAATACAACCCCAATTCAAAAAGAAGTTGAGACTTTGTGTATGAGATTTCTTTTGTATTTATTTACATGTTATTTGAGGTTGTATCATATGGTTTAATGTGTGCATTTTACCTTTTCCAGGAATATTTTCTTCTATATCTAAAACCACTCGTAAACCGTCCAGGTTGGAAATAGGAAGACCTAAATCTAAAGGCTCCGACTCTCCGCTCTACACCACAGAGACGCACACAGACAAACGCTTAATGAGTTTCTTGACATTGTTCATACTAGAACATCTTCTGCCCAAGGATGGACTTACAATATGTGCCACCAAGTCAGCAAGGTGCAGGCCGTACTTCGCCACCACGGGCCTCAGGACCTCGGTCACCGGCTTAGTGGGCTTAGCCTTTAAACCCACCGAACGGTTGATGGGAACCAAGTCGAGTCTGGAGAGGAGAACAGAATCAGCATCTTCTCCGTGATATTTTATAGCTTCAACCTTTCTCTTGATATTGGTTCGCAATGTTGAAAGCTTGTTTTTAATGTTTCGTAACTGAAAACAGGAACTCATGCGACTGCATTTAATACCTGAAGAGGGTCCGTTTTTCTAGTCTGAGGTCTCGAGAGGACAGGGTCATACAGTCTTGGTCTAAAACAAGTGGCTGAGAAAGAAAAGAGCAAAAAGCTTCAAAAACACTTGGATTCTAAAGTATACATTTTGATATCAAGGTAATAAATCAGTTTTTCACCAGCGAAACTCATTACTAATTACTTTCTTTTTTATATTGAGCAAACCAGCTAATAAACTTTATTTATTTCAGATTCTCTCTAGCACTTTGTTAGTAGATGCAATTTGCTGCAAGTATTTGGGTACCACTTTACAATGAGGCTCTTCCTATAGATGGCTTATAAATAGTTTATAGATAGGTCATCAAATCATCTGTAAACACTTTATAAATTATTAATAAGTATTTTATATGCATTAATTAAGAACGAGAAAGCAACAAAACTGTCCGTTTCCTTTATTAATGACTAATAAACATGTATAAATGTCAGAAGGGGGCCCCTTATGACATTTATACATGTTTATTAGTCATTAATAAATAATGTACTGTCTTAAACCATACAATAAGGCTCCCTTTGATAATTGTGGATATGTATAATACAGTAATACAGTACAATATTATATGTAAAATACGTGTTTCCAAATCATTATTGTGCTTACAATGTAGAAACCTAGTGTGAAATGTTTAATATATAAGATATAATATGTACATGAACAGATTTGGGCAAGAAACCAGACAGTTTTGTCTGTTTCTTATCCTTAATTAATGCATAATTAACACTTATTAATGATTTATAAAGTGTTTACAGATTAATTAATAACCTATCTATAAGCTATTTATAAGAAATATATAAGGAGAGCCTTATTGTAAAGTGGTTCCAGTATTTTGATGTGTTTTTAAAGCACAGAAGTTAAAGGATCAGACACAAGATGAGCTGTACCTTCTCGCCTCCAACCAGGAAGAGGTCTATAGCTGCCAGGTTGATGCAGAGCTTCTCACAAAGACCCTGCAGCAGCTCTCTGATGGACACTCCAGCCCTCAGAGGGACAGAGCAACAAGAGCCATCAGGAAGGCTGATGTTACACTGCCTCAAGGGGGTGCTGCTTCCCCCTCGATCTGCTGCTGCACGACCGTCCACCTAGAAGGAAACAAGTCTCACACTGTTAATTTAACCCAATATTTAAAAAAAATAAACATTTAAAGAAGAGGTTTGAAAACTCAACCTCAAAATGCTGCAGGTCTCCTAAAACATAACTTCATGTTTGTCGAGCTTTAAAAAACGTCTGCCCTAAATGTCACACTGCTTCCTTTCCAACGTTAATGCCAAAGAAGCAAACACTAATGGAAGTGATTAGATCATGATCTCCTTTCAGACTGACCTCGTTCTTCCCCGACCCCGATGTCCCCAGTTCCAGACTGGCTCCTGAAGACAGTGAACCCTGGGACTCACGGCGGCCGTTGGTACCAGAGAAGTCTAAAAGAAAAGAAAAGAAAGACAAATAATGCACAAGTTCCTTATGGCACAAAAAAAAGACTTGGCATTTATAAATGCAAACAATAAATGATTTATTCTACTGAACATCAGATTTATTTATAGGACTAATTTATTGTGTATATTTTTTAACTAAACTCTACACCTGACAGACTTTGTAAAGTAGGAATAGAAAAAAACTACTGACTGTAATTGAAATCAGCCAGCTCTCGTTTCTTTGGGCCTTTGCCGAAGCTCCGGTTGCGAGACCACGAGAAAAACATGCCTTTCTTCCTGTCAGCGGAATCATCTCGACTGTCCTCGTTTAAAGATCGACCCGATTTGTTCTTCTTTTCCTCCTGTGAGACCCAAAATCAGACAGACACGAGACAAACAGGGAAAATTAGCAGGACAGGCAGAGCATGGAGTCGCTGCTGTAGCCTCTCTGTCAATCTTTGTTTTTACTCAGTTATCAATAATGTGAATGCATTTAAATCCATGCTGCATTGATATAAACATTAGGATGTTTATAGGATGTTTAACATTTTGTTAAAAATAAAATAAATACAGTTGTTTCATCCATAGTCATAGAAATTATTCTAAAAAATATAATTCCCAAAATCTTGTCTAAATGAAAACAGTTTTTTCTGCAGAGTAGAGCAAAATATTTGGTTTATTTTAGGAGAAATTATATGCTCAGGGTTTTATTTGAAGCGTGATTATGGCTGCAGCCCTCTGAATCATAATCTATTGATCTAGTTCCCACCCTTAGGAACAATCTGAACCAAACTAACCTAACTAAGACTCCTTTATTTTAACCTTTTCTTAAAATATGAAACCTGTCGTTTCTTCCCGTAACGTTGTTGCAGCTGTTACCTTCTTGGGCGTGGAGAGGTTGGAGCGGTCCGAACCGGTGGTGCTGTGTTTGGAGGTGGGGCTGCTGGGGATGTGGTACGGGTCAGGCAGCGGCCGGCCCTCCACCTCTGCCAGCATGCACTCCTGGTACAGACGAGACTTGAGGAACCGCGTGTAGCTGTCAAACTTCATCAGGTTAAAGATCTAAATGAAGAGGAAAAAAACTCAGTGGGTAAGAAAGAAATGCCAGAAGGAATGCATGATGGGAAAAAAGCAAAAGAAAAGGGCGAACTGGAAAAGAAATGCCCTTTAGAACAGATAAATAAGAAATGCCAAAAAACAGAAGAACACAATTAAACTGAACAAAGATGAAAAGAACAAACAACTAAAACTCAAACACATAAAAGAAAAGTTAATTAGAAACTACCAAATTTCAACCGAACGACAACCAGATGTTTACAGATGCACACAGACGAAAGCTGAAGACTTGTTTTCTCTTGAAGTAAAACAGAAACAAAACTAAAACTATTATCCAGAGGATGGTGCTGCAGATCAAAGTCGTGGAGTTAAAAAATCTTTCTGACAAACAAACATGTCTGCAGCAACCTGGATGTTAAAAACCCAACATGTGTCACTGACTCTGTCGAAAACATTTTAAAGAAAGAAACTCAAAACCTTCAGAGAGCTTGTTGAACTCTTCAAAAAATAATAAAAATCTGAAAAACTGACTCTGAACTAATGCTCCTCCAGACACAAAAGAAGAAATCACACCACTTCATCTTTAAATGATATTTATCCTTTCATAAAACATTCTTTAAATAAATTTAAAAAAGCAGAGATGTTTGACGTAGTGTGCAGGTCAAACCTTTCACCAACGCAGAAACAAAACGGCAACGAGTCCTGAAGTTTTCTGCACTTTAATGTGCGTGCCAAGCTTTAACAGAAAATGTGTGAACGCTGAACATGTAAAAGTAAACAGTGATAAAGAGGATATCCTTCCAGGCTTGTGACTCTTATCAGAATCTGAACATCTGAGCTGCGCAGCTGAAATCAATGGAGCTTTTCAGACACTGTTCCTGCGCGACACGTCTAAGAAGCCATTCAGAGACGAGTCAAAGGACTGACCTCACACTGAATCTGCGCCTGACGCTCTCTCAGGAGTCAACTCCATTTGACCATGGTTCAGTTTTATGAGTGATACTAAATTTGTCTTTCAGAGAAATGATCTTTTTTCTGTCTTTCTCGTAATAAAAACACGTTGAGTGCTTTTCTTTGTTACCTGCAGCTGCTGCTCCTTGAACATGCCGGGTTTCGGTGCGTTGAGGATGTCGTCGGCCAGCTGAGCTTGGCTGTCTATGTTGACCGGTGTCGTGGCTTTACTGGACAGGAAGCTGTTGTAGATCTCTCTGGCACGCTGGGAAAGCTGATTAAAAAACAGAAGATGAGGAATCTAGAAAACCGACTGCTGTGTAAAGATGTACTTGTGAGCGATGAAACAGTGTTACCTGCTTGTTGTCGTTCTCAGGTACATGGCTGAAGAATTCACACGCCTGCCAGAAGAGAATATTCTCCTCACTGAACTCCTTTTTTAGGAATTCCTGCAGCAAAGGGATTTATTGTCAAAGAGAGAGACAGGTTCATAATGCTACAGCATCTTAGGTGTACTGCTGTTTGGAGATTATGGTTGGTTGTTTTATTTAATCTTTTATGTTTCACTCTTATGTTTCCATGTTTTTTACAGAGATTCTGCACTTCCCAAACCCCCCATTTACCTTCTCAGACCACAGCCAGCCTAATATAGGACAATCACACAACTCAAGCTTCCATGTGGTGTTTGGTTAATTCAGCCAGGGGTTTGTTTACACTGAGTGTGGACCTGCATTTCAGAATTGCGTTCAATATATCCAGTCTATTTCAGGATTTATTCTCTGCTGTTTGTGGATGATGTGGTTCTGTTGGCATCATCTCACTGGAGCAGAGGGATGAGGATCAGGACCTTCAAATCTGAGGTCATGGTTAGGAGTGGGTGGGTTTTTATTCATGAGTGAGAGAAGAATGCACTGATTTATGTTTTATTTTATAGTTTGTAATGAGTGCCTTTAACTTGTTAAACATGTTGTGTTATAAATGATGTCTAAACCTTTATAAATGACTCATTAAAGCCCATCTTTCATTAACATTTGGCTTTATTAGTACCGAGAAGTAGCGAACTCCGACCGGGTCCTGCAGCAGCCGCTCGAAGCACACGGCCCAGCTGGCCACTCGCCGCTCCGTGTGGCGCTGGTGATACTGGACACTGGGCAGGCTGGCATTACTGTTGAGACTATTGTCACTGCTGCAGCCCTGCAGCTCCACACTGTTCAGTTCTGTGCAAACAAAGAAAATACACATGAAATCAAATAACAGCAGTAAAACTAAGACAAAAAAATACAGTTTTTGTTCCACTGGTGCTACCGGGTGCTTTTATTTTGAAAACAAGGGTGTCATATTACTGCCTGCAATTCTTACCTTTAGTTTGACACCCCTACAAAAAATAAAAAAATGTTGAAATACATGCAGATAACCATAACAACACTGTCACTTGGTGATTTTTAGGCAGTTTTAGGTGTTTTTTTTAATTAATATTGTCAAAATAAAAGCAAAAAAAATTAGAAAGCTTTGGTAACATCTCATTTCCTTCTCTTTTCTACCTGCAGGGAGTTTACGACACCTGAAGGCACCATAATTGGCCTGAGACTCATTTGGGACTCATTTGGGACCGATGTGTCGCCTGCTGATGTTAAAGCAAGAGAAGAAATGAACCCTGAGAGACCTCCTCCTCCTCCTGCTCCTATGGTTTTCTGTTGTTTTGTAACGAAACACCCACAATGAACCCATGAGACCGGTTTGTTGAAAATAAACATCCGCTACGAAACTATACTGTTGTTTTCTTTCTTAGACAGGCGGGCCACACCCCGCCGATTAGCTGACAGTTGGGTTAATTGTGTTCAGTCAATGAGAGGCCGTACAGCAACAAGCAGAGACAGAGAAGTTATATGAGGTGGATTGTTATTATTATTTCTTTATTTTATCACTATCTTTGGCAGGAAAAGTGGAAATGAAGACTTGAAGACTTTCAAATACAGCACAAAGTCAAAAGGTGTATCTAGGAATTGCGTTATCATCCACCATTAGACCACAGTGTGTTCAAGTTCTTAATGTTTAACTGTAAGCAGGAGGCAGAGGCGCCCCCTGAAGGCTGCTTTATTTAGATAAAAATAAAAACAAAAACAGCTGGAGGGAGGGCAGCGCCGGTCAGGTGCCTTGGACGACGCAAAAGCTGTGAATAAAGTGAAAGAGCAGCTTCCCGCCTCGAGCTGAAGTTCTGTGAGATTTCTAACTTCAAATCTGCTCTATCAATGGATAATGTCAATGTGACTTCTGCTTATGCCATTTACAGTTATTTTTATCACTCTGAATTCACTAAACTACTATTCTCATTCACACTTTTCGAAGAAATGTTTGTTTTTTAAGAACAGAACAAAAAAAAGTTACTGGTTATAAAACAAAGTTGTCTCAGGCGATATTTTAGTTGGACCACACTGCTGCGTTCTCTTATTCTCACAGTTTCCGCATCAATCAACAGCAAATAGTTACAGACTTGAAAGGAAAGCCACAAAGTTTAAAAAAAAAGGAATATTTTAGCCGTTTAGCTCTTGGCGTCATTTGGAAAAAGAAAGAAGCTCCACAAACAGGTCATTAAATAAATGACTGCTTTTTAACAAAATGTGATGACAGTTGTGTGGCGATACGCAAAGGAACAAATCCAACCTCACGTCAGTCCTCAGCAAGCAGATTTCTTGTCATTTTGAATGTTTTACTCAAAAAATTACGATTTGAAATGTTTGTTTTGCCAAACCTTTCAACATTTTTAAAAAGATTCAAATTTCCTAGAATACATTTCGCTATGAAGGAAGTTCGGCTTTTTGGTGAAATACAGTGAGAAAACAAATCCGATTTTAAATTCAATTAAGATTTAGCATTTCTTGAAATAATCATTTCACTCTTTGCTTTTCATAACTGAGCTCTGATGTTGAGAAACGACCTTGAGAACCTTGAACATAAAGAGAGTACATGTTGTGAATTACATCCAGATTAAAGTTTAACAATATCTGTAAAACTGACAGAATAATAAAAGAAATGTTTTTTTTTTTCAGATCAACTGTTTGTAACTTTTTTCTTGCATTGACGTCGTCATCCTATGATTACTTTTTGTAAGCTCCATTAAACTTTGTCCAGCTCTTTATGAGATATCCTGGTAAAAGACACGTGAAGTTTCCGATTTATTTTAGTACTTTGATTATGACTACATCCAAAAATCTCTTCTCGTAGTGAATATAATGACGAGAAAAACAGTACAAAAAAAACAGTATTTTCACTGCAAAAACTGTCCATCCAACCAAGTTTTAATCTTGATCTTGTTTTAAGACTGATTTACTAAACAAGAACTTATTTAGCTTGTTAGCCTGGAAATTTGACTCAAATTGAGTGAAATATTTTTGCCAATGGAGTAAGAAAATTTTACTTGATAAGATTCTTGAAATAAGAAAAAATTGAGCCAAATCAAATATTTCAAGAATTTTATCAAGTAAAATTGTCTTTAAAAACTTGCTTAGATGGCCATTTTTTGCAGTGTTATCACCAAAATAGTCAGACCAACAACATTAATCAGCTCCTTAAGAATAAGAAATGAGTAATTCCTAAACAGAATTCATAAAACTGCTGTTTAACAAACCATGGGACCCTCCCGAAATCTCCTTCAATAACAATAAAACCAGACCTCAGATATCCAACACTAAACTCGCTTCCTTTCAGCTTCACTGCTCCTTTGTGTTTAAACATCCAACACTTCTTCAGTCATAAAACGAGTTTCCAAAGCCCCTGGCATCGTCTCACCTGGGTAAAGCTGGTAGGAGCCTGAGTGGTGCCAGCGGGGCAGGTGTCGAATCCTAAGGGGTAACCAGGCCCCTCCATCCATAATCACCCTATCAGGGCCCCTCACAAGCTCGAACGCACCAGGATGAAGCAACAGTCCAATAAAAGGCGTGCACACACACAGCTGACATCACATGCAGGGAGAGACGGGCCAAGTGGGAAAAAGAGGAAAAAAGACAAGGAGAGAGGGGAATCTGCCGTTGGTTAGCAACCTGGACGACAACCTGATGAGCTGCAGAGTCGGGTCGCAGTGCACGCGCGCACACCGCTGCGTGTGCGTCCACACACACGACCGGGAGCTTCCAGCTACGTAAGCGATACAAGCAAACACGGGCCTCAAGACGATAAATAATTCAGAGGCGAGGGAGAGGGGAAATAACAGCGTTTACACACACACACACACACACACACACACACACACACACACACACACACACACACCTATTCGTTTTAGGATCGTGTATTGACTTTCATTCATTTCTGTAGCTTAGACCACTACATAAAGACCTAAAAAAGTAACAAAAAACAGTTTGCACACACACACACACACGCACGCACACACGCATGCACGCACGCACGCACGCACGCACGCACGCACGCACATATTTCTGACAGGCGTTGCCTCATTAAAATAAACAGGTTGAAGTTAGTTAAAAATGCCATCATAGTGCCAACTACACTAATTATAATTCAGCTACTGTTCGGCTGTTTTTCTCCTGTTTCCTTCATCTTCTTGGATTCACAACTCCTCTGCAGCTTTAGAGAAAAATAAACAAACAACCAAACGTGCAGCTCAGTCCTGGAATAGTTAGCTGTGAGTTTCAGCAGCAGGACGACACTGATCAAACATCCCTTCTGGTGTTGGTGAGAGAAGTGAGCGCAGACAGCAGAGACAACAAATCTCACCAAGTTCTACTCGACAGGGATGGACTGAGCTCTGATATTTTTAATGGATTTCATCAAGTCTCAGTTTATGTTTTAGAATTTTTGGAAATTTAATTGCAGACCTCAGAGTCATGTCTGACTTGGAGTTTGTTAAACTTTTTAAAGATTTTGTGAATAAACTTTCTTCTTCAAACTTTTCTATTTTAAATTGTGCAAACATCAAGCTGCAGGTTTTTATCTTCTTTTCTCAGGTGTGTCTCTTAAGACTTTGGTAACGAGGCAGAAGTGAATTAACCATTTTAACTTAAAGCTCCATGAAGTTTATTTTATCGATGTTCAATTTCAGTTTTCTTTTTATTTTTTTACTTGTTTTAAGGTGTTAAGAACCAGGGGTTCTTAACCTTTTTGACCTCGGGGCCCAATTTATTGAACATAAAGTGGCACGAGGCCCAGTCAGAC